CTCATAAGAATAACAAAACAAAACATGATTTATATTAAAAACCAAATTTACAAAATAAAACTTAAGCAAAAGTATAAATACTAATCTCATATTTTTCCTCAAGCAATCCTTTGAAGTTTCTTGTCTGAACTTGACTCCATAAGATTCATACAAGACTCAACAAACACTTACAATCACCACACTCTCATTATGGTTGTCACCCACCCCAATGGTGTTCTAATTTACCCAAAAACAACTTTCTATCCTCCTCCCTCTTCTTGGACGTGTGGAAGTGCTTCCTATATATAAAACTCTGAAAATAACCAAGAGTCACTTTAGGCACCTTTTTGAAGTTCGTCAAAATTCATTGAATATATGCATAACAGTCTCTGGCGCCTAAGCACCCAACTGTGGTGCCTAGGCGCTGAGCTTCTAGAACACCCTGACGCCTATGCACCGGGTCAATTTTTTGTTCTTTAGCTTCATTTGCTCCATTTTTGCTCCTTTTACTCTTAAACCTTATTTTTTTTTACATGAATAAAAAACATACAAAATATCTTTCATTAAAACGTAATATCCTTAAATATGAACATGAAATACACATATAAAAATATGTAATTTTAAGATGTGTCAGTAGGAGTAATTAGAAGCAAGAAATTCAAGATAAAAAAAAAAAACTTTTATGTGAAGTTTTAAAAGAAAGTACAATAAATATGCTAGTGTTAGTATTAAATTAATATGGGTATCAATCTCAGTAGGGTTTCCTACAATATTCATTTAGATAGTGGCATCTTTCTTAGAAATGAATTTGAGCTAAAGATTTGAGGTTGTCACATATTTAAGTTTGCATTGATAATGTCCTTTTCATTGATTTGATATGCAAGAATTTGTTGGTCTTGTTATTATATTTAAATACATAAATATTTTTCTTTTCATAATGGATAACACTCATACTAGGGGTGTAAATGAACCGAACACGAACGAACAAAGCTCGTGTTCGTGTTCGGTCTATTTGGAATTAAATGTGTTTGAAATAGGCTCGTGTTCAAAATTATTCGTGAAGTTACAGTTTTTGTTTGGTTCGATTTGTTTGAATTATGTTTAAAATATTTGAAATATTTAAAATGTTTGAATTGTTCGAATTATTTGAATTGTTCAAAATCTTACAAATTTGATTGCATTGTTTGGATTATTTGAATTATTCGAAATCTTTCAAAAGCTTAAACATGTAAGAAATTAATGCTTAAATATGTATGAATTATAGCACAAATGTACAATAGCTGAGGCACAACTCACAAAAAAACCATAATATCATATTTCATCCATAAAAAATTCAAATCTAGAGGCAATATGCGAGATTTCACTCCCAAAAACTTCAAAAACTAGGTTTCACTTAAAGAAATTAAATAAATCTAGATGAAATATAAGAAAATTTAAGCTAAGAGGCGAACCTAAAGATAAATATGAAATTATATGATTTAATATAAGCTAAGAGGTGAGCCTGGAAATCAGATTATAATTTATAGGATTTAGTTTTTAAAAATATGATAAATTATATTAATAATTATTTTATATTTCAAACAATAACGATTCAAAAACATTTAAACAAACGACTGTTTGTGTTTGGTTCGTTTATAAATCAAACAAAAAAAATTATTCGTGTTTGTCTCATTTGCTTATCAAATGAATCGAACACGAACTCCATAGCAAGCCAAACATGATTTGTTCGCAAACAACAAGCTTTTCTAACGGCCCTAACTCATACTACACAACCAATGCCTTTATGAAAGTGTATGGGCAATGCCTATAACGGGAATATCACATCATATTTGATCATATTGATACCTATTCTGATGAGAACAAGGCATTAATTAGCGATTGGAGAGAAGTATGATTTATCTAACTAACATGAAAGGGTTTAAAGGGAGAATGAATTTTTAGAATGACAATAATTAGAGCGTATATTGAATTAATATTCATAACACTTTTCATATTTAAAACTAAAATATAGTGTTTGTCATCATACATAATACATATACAAAAAATATTATTTTTTTCTTCTGTCATTCATCTCATTCTTATTAGCCATATGACATACGAAGCTATAAGTTGTATATAAATTCTAGTTACTCATTAAACAATAGGGTGCAATAACAATCTTCTTTTAAATATATTTTCAATTGGGCCTTAAGAAAAGAATTTGGGTATTGCACTAATTTCATTCGTCTTGTCATGAAACTTAAAGAAAACATCTCCTTGATATTTTTGGAACTTTCCTTGGTAAGAATTTAGGTCATATTGGTCGGGCTAGTATGTGAATTAAGTCTAGCAATAAATACACATGGGTAAGCAAAAGGGCGCTTGGCTTGTTTATCTAGGAAGAAGCATATTTATCCTGTTGTTATACTCGAAAGTCAATCAAATCATATAAACTATGGATTTTAATCTCCACATCAACATTGAAGGCTTGATGATTCTTACTTAAAGAAGATTCAAATCTTCATCTTTAAGTCATTTTTATTACTTATCAAAAGCCTCACATCATTTATATTATCGTATTGATGAAATCTTCCTTTGGGATCAATGTCTTCTAACTTCTGCATGAGATTTTAAGTTCTACACTGGAATCTAAATGATCAGTATCTTAATAGTCACAAGAATCTAATATTGAAGGAGCACAATTTGGATAGCCAAATCATTATAATTTATTCTTTGAGAAATCAACATGTTAGTCTCTCTTCATAATTTAGTTAAAACATTGAGGTTGAAAATAGTTCCATAATTGCTTAATAAGTCTCTTTATCAACATCAAGTACTAGGGTTTTCCTTAAATTTTTTTATTTAGGATTTGATTATAACCTCATTTTAGAATCTTATGATAATTTATATTAAAATATTATGATAACCTCTATTTCAGATTTTTATAATGTTGAAGCAAGCCCATACCAGCAAAATTCACATATGTTGAAACATTATTAATACTGATATTTTAAGATTTCTAGTGCAAAGAGTTTGTGCCAAAACATCATAACATTGATCTTGTTTGTATTGCTTTTAAAGAATGTCCTACAATACTCAAAACTGTAGATCATATTTTTTTTATTAATTCAAAAATTATAGAAAAAAAATTATATGTATTCATAGTAATTTTTGAAGACAACCATCTCAAATTCTTAAAGCAATTGTGCAAATATAATTTAGGCTCCGTCGTGATTGTGCGGCGGTGGTGCGACACTGCACCGCTGTTTTGGTCGTTTGGGTAAACTGCATTTTGACAACTTTTTCAAAAAGCTGTCACTGAAACCAGTGTTTTCTCACTGCTCCTAACTAGGCGCGATGAGAGCTTTTGAGTTGCGGTCGACTTTTTCAAAAAAAAAAAAATTGTAACAGTCGCCATAACTTTTTGCGATATCAGATTATCTTAGCCAGCTTCACAAAAGTTTTTTAATAAGTTGCAGCTGCCCCGAAACGGAGCCTTAAATATAACATGCAACAGTGCGAACGATTCAAAATTTAATTATCCTTTCGAAGCGAAATATTAAATTTTGAAGGCAAGAAATATGAAGACTGGAGATCACCTGATAAAAATTAAATATTATTAGATTATGGGATAATTACAAACACAGCACTGGAAACTTTACCATTTACAATAATAGCTGCTGGATTTCTGCATGCCATGATCATATAATTACAAATTCTATAACAATGAAAAATATGATTTGGGGTTTTACTGGTAATAAAGCGGGTGCTAGTTTTCTAAATAGCAAAATTTCAAGGGCTAATTTCCCCATAACTGTTTTTTCCACAAACATGCAACCAGTGCCACTAGCCATACATTTAAAGTTACTCTAATGGACAACAGATCGGTACTTCCTGAAATAATATTTTTCCATATCAAGCTAAGCTAAAGTATACATGAAAAAAATAAGTATTGATCTGCTTACAAAAGGATTCACCTCCTGCGCAGGTTGCCAGCCTTGTGCAGCAGACCTAGTCGCTCTTCTATCGGATGATTAACTCTTGTCAGCCGTGAAATGCTAACTTATTCTTTCACTTTTGGGGAATTTACTTACATACCACACAATTCTTATTTATTTATAAATTTAGCCCCTAGATTTTTCTATTTGCTTGCATATATCACATCAAACATGCCATTATTATTTAGTTTTAAAAGTGAAATGAAGAATTTCATGATAGATTATAATTCCTAAGTACTACAAATATAAAGTTTAGGAGTTTCTTTAGGCATTCGTTTTACTTTGAAAAAAAAGAGAAAATAAGGGTTACTTTAAAAAAATTGTTCCAACTTTTTATAGCATCACTTATAACAATGGAGATACTTCACTGCAGGTTTTAATAATTGCCTTACCATTTCCATATTAAGGTAATCGCATGACAAAATCTATGAAAAAGTAAAGAAATGAAATATCCAAATGTTATTTAAGAAACAAATTGTTAGTTCAATGTTATTAATTCGTTAACCTATTAATTTTTAGTTTATTTAAACTTAAGCAGAAGATGTAGGGTGTGTTTAGGACAGCGGTGTGGCGGCATATCCCATGACACTTTTTTTTCTGTTTGATAAAACTATGTTTTGTCTGTCATTTCTAAAAGTTGTGGTGGAAAGCTAGTCAGACTAGAAATCTACAAAGGTATGACCTGACTTTTTGAAAACAAAAAAATTATAATAACTACCATAATTTTTTTAAGAATATATTTTTCTATAACAGTTTCACAGCTGCTTTTTCAAATATTTGTAACTGTCCCGAACAAATTCTTACTTCTAAAAGTTAGAAAGAATAATTTTATGTGATATGAAGAATTTGCGTGGTATAAATATAAAAAACAAAATTTATGTGTCAGATAAAAAAATACACAAATCCGATCTTATGCATGTACATGCCTAAATTTTAAATGTACATGATTTGCGTAATTTTTTTCTCCAATACAGTAAGTTGCAGTTAAGGAATCATTTCATAAATTCAGCTTCAAAATTTGAATCAAATTAAAACAAAAACACATTTTTTTAACTACAATATACTCAATAACTTAATATTAATGATGTTCAATAATGAAAATAATAAAGAAAAAGTAATGCATTTCTACATTTTCTTAAGCTCTACAAGAAGGCAGATATTCTATCCTGCCCTCTCTTTATACAAACATGCATGCGGAGACAATCTTCCCAAACATGCATGCAATCACTAACCTGGTAAACGGATGAGGGTGAGGATTAAGGCATGAAGAGCTTATTGCCACACTTGCATCGCCATGCCTCGGGGTAGTATTCAGCTATCACGGGGATGCCCGGAGGGACGGGCACGTGGACCGGGTAGCACGGGCTGCAGTCACCGCACTTTGACGTGCACCGCGGAGGATAGGAACCCGGCCCGCCTTCTGGGCCGCTCATCTCCGTCTCTTTTCCCTGCATGCCCCCAAGGCGGCTCACGTTAGCATTTCACCCTCACTTCTCACTAAATTGCGCAAATAAACCTGCGCCATGCTCAGAGAAAATTTTAGGTGTGATGTTCACTTGTACGGATGGGTGATAGCGAAGAAAAATTTACCGCATTATCATCCTCAAAATAGTAATTTGCACCTAGCTTATCGGCACATAAATTATCATGTCTTAAGAGATTTGTTACCTCGATGAAGGTTGCTGTTCTTGAGCTTCTTCCTCGGCCTGCGAAGAAAGAAGATTAATCTTCAAAAAGGAGGCAGTTTTGAGTAAAAAAAATGTCATCATTGGAACACATTTGGCATTGGAGGTTGAAGAAGCGATGGGTTTATGAGAGAAAGAACGGGGGATGGATGAATTTTGGGTAAAAATCTGATCTTGTTCACCTGAAGGAGAATCGCCATGGGAGTTGCTTGAGAACAGAGCAGAAGTGGAGAAAAAACAGAGATAAGTGCAGAACAGCAGAGTGGTCATTGGCAATGATCCGCCTCTTGTTCTTCCTCTTCTGATGCGTTCCATCCGAGCTGATGAAAGGTCTTAAAATGGTTGACAAGAAGAAGAAGAAGAAGAAGAAGAAGAAGAAGAAGAAGAAGAACGAGGAGGAGATGAGATGGGATAGATGCAGGAATTGCAGATCTCAAACTATGGTTTTAATGTCTGTCAGAGCTAGCGGAGCGTCAGGTTCCAGATCTCGGTGAGAAGCCATTGTGGATGAGGCATCAAGAGAAGCTTAGGATTAAAAATGGATTTGGATATCTGTCTCACTCTCACTCACTGGAGCACACAGAGACTCTTTCTACGTCTGTCTCTCTCTAAGTTGCTTTACAGGGTCCTTCGCCTAACTCGATTTCTCTGCATCTGTGGTAAGCTGGAAAGGAAATAACCTGCGAAATAGGTTATGTGAGACTCACATGTTAGCCAATGGAAGAAATTTACCTCTCTGTCTTCTTCCAGAAGGGAAAGAATAATGACTTACAGTTTACAGTCCAATTCTAATGAGGGAAAAATTGGAATGTAAGAAAATGATAGTGATTGTGTCATGAGTTTGAGGAACAATATTAAGATGTAAGAGTGAATAAATTTTTGGACACTAAATTATTACTTGAAGCGATATTATTTGGTGTGTTTTGTTAAACTAAGATTTTTTGTATTATTTTATATATATATTATTGTATATTTAATGTAAAAAAAGTTGTGGGTTATGCACCTTAAATAATTGTGAAATTTTTCAAAGTTTTTTAAAATGAAGTAATCGTCACTATTTCATCACTCTCTTTGAACATTTATAAATTATATGACAACAAAATATTTATATTTAGTATAGAAAAACATAAATCTTCACTCGGACAAATAAGTACAAAAATTGTAAATTAAAGTCATCCATTTAAAGGGTGTGATTAAAAAACATAATATTAAAATTGATTTTATTTTCACACTTTTCTATTCTTAGTCTCATTTTTTAACATCGTACGTACAACACACACATACAAAAGAAAATGATGCAAAAGCAGTATGAGGAGCAACCAAGATTTTAGGTGGAAAAAAGCCTTGAATGGAAATAAACACGTGGTCTAGTTCAGTCAAAGTAATTCACTACATGATTATAAGTGCATTGATCCACACGTTTCCAAAATTAAAAAAAATGAAATTATAATGTCGATAATTATATAAATACAATATTTATCCAACTTAAGTGGGCGACAACAAACGTAACTCTTGAAAATAATAGATAGCTAGCAGTAAAGGTCATAATTGGCCTCTACAAATGTTATAGTTAGTCATAAAGGTTGTAGTCGGTGGCTGCAATATCTTCAATTGGCCACAGAGATCATGATTTGAGACTGCAATAATGACAGTTGGCCGCAGAGCCAATATTTAGCAGTACTAATAGAAGTTGAACAAATTGTCCTAGTTGATCACATATGACATGGTTGGTAGCTTTATTAATATTTATTTGTCACAAAGTCAGTAGTGGAAATATGCAGTAGTAATTGACCATATAAGTCATAGTTGGTAGTTGCAAGTGTGTCAATTGGCCTGAGAGTTCTTAGTGGGTAGTTGTCGTAGTAACTGCCCACATAAGTCGTCGTTGGTGGCGACTGAGCCACATAGGCCAAAGTAGGAAGTTACAAAAGTAATTGGCCACATAAACCATAGTTGGTAGCTACAAGCGCACTAGTTGGCCATAGATATAACAATGGGAAGTTGTAGTAGGAACTCACCACGTAGGCCTTAGTTGGTCACATAGGTCGTAGTTGGTCACATATGTCGTAGTTCGATATTGTATTAGTAGTTAGGTAAATAGATCGTAGTTGGACACTTAAGGCGATTGCTTGTTGTGGTGTCGTTAGTTGGCAAGAGACGCCGTCGTAATTGGCAGTTGTATGGTTGCTCACGAAGAACATAATAGAAGACTACAATTACAATAGTTGACCACATAGGTCGCAATGGAAAACCACTGTAGTAACCGACCACACAGGCTAGTTGCAAGAGTGTCAGTTGCCCACAAAAGGTTGTAGTAGAAGGCTATAATGATAACAATTTGACATGTAAATTATAGTGGGTAGATACAACAGTAATTGAACACATAGGCCATAGTGGGTCATTGTCTGAGTGCTTCCCCGTTGTTAGTTTTGTAATCGAGTAGAGTTGTGTTCAGTATTTCTTGGATTTGACCTGACTTGATCGAATCATAAGTTGTTCATGTTTGATTTAAGTTTGAGATGAGTTTTCATATATATATATATATATATATAATATATATATTCATTCATACTTGACTTCATTTGTACCCGACTTGTTTTTCTTAATTGATAAAAGAGCGCTTAATTTTCACATAATATTAAAATTTTGATTTGTAGTTGATATTTCATATAAAGCTAATTAGCAAACTAAAAGTTTAAATAAGTATTTGATTTTCTATGTAAAATTCTTAACTAATGATTTTACAATTATAAATAAGTAATAAATATGTTTTAGAAAATTATCTAACTAGTTTAAGTACTAGTTTCTTAATATATATAAGTTCTATATAAACTTTCTTACAATTAAATAATATAAATGAGTACTTACAAATGATTTTATTGAAAAAAAAGAACAAATTATATATTAATTTTATTTACATTTTGATATTAACTTACTGTATATTTTTATTAAATATATAATTGAATGACTTCAATTTAATCAAATTTTATTCAAACAATGCCTCATATAAATGTAGAGCATTTAACAAGTTGTTGAACAACAAACAAGTTTGTTCATGAAAATTAACAAATGATTTGGGATATGTTCAAATTTGGTTCATTTAAACTTTGAGTTAAAAAAAAAAGTTCAAACTTATTTATTATTAATTTGGAAAACATAATCGATTATTAATGGAGCCATTATAAAATCTTCTTCAAGTGCATTGGTTTATTTACAACCCTACCCATTGTATCTAGTCCTTGGGATTCTCGAAAATCAAATTGTCTTAGGTACATTTACACTAATGCAACAACAATAACAACAAGCCACTAAGTGGGGTCTTCTACATTAATCCTTTTTCTCCATTTTGTCCTATTAAGTGTCATATTTAATTCTAATTGATTAATATCATTTTTTATACAATATGCAAAAGACTTTGTAGATCTACCTCTTCCTTGCTTAACATAAGTCAAATCTAAAATATCTACTCTTCTAACAGGATCATCAGATGGTTGGCGGTTAATGGACCAAACCATCTAAGATGACTCTCTCTAATCTTGTCTGTCAGTAAAGCTACACCAACCCTATCACAGATTTATTCATCCACCTAAGCATTCTCATCTAAGTAAGATATAACTTTGTTTTATGCTTATCTTTTAAAGGTCAACATTCTGCACCAAAGTGCATTGAAGGTCTCACCATCTTATAAAATTTTTCTTTTAGTCTAATCGACAGTTTTCTATCACATAATAGGCCCGATGGATTTCTCCACTTCAACAAGCCAACTTTAATTCGACTAATGACACCTCCATCTTTATCACCATCACTTTGAACTATGTATCCAAGATATCTAAAATGCTAACACATTAGAACTCTCCAAAGGACTTCTCTTGGAACCTTATTGTAAGCTTTCCCTAAATCAGTAAAAATCATATGTTGATTCTCCTTATTCTCTCTGTACTTCTCCATCCAACCCTTCAATAAAAGTATGGCTTCAATTGTTGTCCTGCCCAACATAAATCTAAAATGATTGTGAGAAATCTTTTTATCAATTCTTAACCTATTTTCAGCTACCCTCTCCCATTATTTTATGAAACATCATCTTAATTTCTTTATAATTTGCACTCTTGTGCATCCCCTTTATTCTTAAAAATGGGGATCAAAATACTCTTTCTCCACTACTAATGCATCTTTTTTGTTTTTAAAATAATATTAAGGAGTTTAGTAAGCCAAGCAACTCCCAAATATCTTAAATATTTCCACACTTCACTTAGGACATCATCAAAATCTACTCATTTCCCACACTTCGTTTTCTTTAAGGAGTTCTCAACTTTTTTTTTACTAATGCGACGGTGAAGACAAAACGTTTTATTTTTATTAACGATATTAAGATCACTAAAGTCGATCATACTTTCAGAAATTAAATTAAAAAAAAATTATCAAAATAGCTCATTCACCAATACAAAATATCTTCCTCTACTGATTAATCAATTTTAAAAGACCCAAAGCATTTGGAATCAAATTAAAATAAGAATTTAGTCACAGCTCATCAAATCCCAATCCATTCTCATGTGATCTTTCGTTGGAGAGAAAGCTTTCCATTAGTAGACAAGATATGAGGACGATGATGAAATCTGAGTGTTTCTCTATACCAACATAAATAATGAATCACTGAATTAATAATTTTCACCATGTAAAACTTTCATTTTTTGATCAGATTTCTCAAGACCATGCAGAAATTTTTCATACGTTTTCACAGCATGCGAAACCAAGTAGTATATATATTTGAAAATGATAATATTAATTAAAATTTTACATTAAATTGTTGTTTTAGATATTCTTTGCTATGCATAACTTTTAATATTATTTGAATTATATATTTTATTAATTAAAATGTTTTCTCATTTCACGTGCAAGTTTAAGAAGGCGAAAAGTAAATAAATTAAAATATTTTAATAATAAAAAAAAAAACTAAAATATAATTATTGTATGACCCAACCAGATGCTCAAATTAAGCCCCACTAACTCTGGGACAAATAACTATACTGCAGAAGTATAAGCTTTAGAGCTTCTGTGGATGTCGATCCCAAATCACTATCACATGTAACCCACTTTTTATTGTTTGCTCTTTTTTGTTTATAATCTCCTACTTTTAATTCAGCATTGAAATTTGGAACTCGCTTCTTTAATATGTTAAAATCAGTATGAATCTAGTTGTATTAGAGATTTATTTATGGAAAAGAGGTAAATTGGTCGTTTTTTATTGTTATTAGTTAGTCCTAATGCTCTCTCATTTATATGGGAGATTAGAGCTGAATTTATATGTAGAGTTGTAATTATGTTATGGTTGATTTTTTTTTTTCCTTTCAATAACATCTCTTCGTGAATTTAGTCGATTTGCGCCGAATCAGGTAAATCACACCACAACAATTGTTATAAGAGTTGGATTAGCGCAATTCCTGGAAAGAGCGGCTGCAATTATGGCAAAGTCGCAAACACAAGAAAATGAGATTATATCAAGTTAGTTTATAAGTTCTAATGGAGCCATAGGTAATAGAATGTCATCAGGTATTTCAACATCCACGCGGTGTTGATAAAAATGTTAATTCGTCAGTTGGTTACGCATCAAGTCAAGGCTGATGTAGTGAGATTTGAAGACAAAGAAAAAATTGGAATGTCGTGATGCGAGGTGATGAATGTTTT